AGTTCACCACAACGTTCTAATTAAGGCCAAGGTTAACCAGCAGCACACTTCTCTTCTGGGTGGCCGTCCGTTTGGTAGTTTTATTCAGTATATTTTACAATAAACGAACAGGGGTATACGGGCAGGTAATCCCACGAATGTAGACAAAACAGACGAACCAGCAAAATAAAATTTAGACAGATGGATCTGTCACAAGTACCCGGTCGGGGTGCCATGTGATCCGTTATATCGCTGGCAGCAGTGGGATGGCTTCCTAGCCTTGTGAAAACCAGCACTACTTCAGAGATGGAAGGCCATACAGTATCTCACTTTGATGCCAGGCTCCAGCAGCGACTACAGGATGTGATGCGCAATATGGAGTATCCTATCCCAGACGAAAGAGACAGAGTGGAGGGTGGCGCTTCGTACCGATCTATGGAAGGAGGACATCGACGAAACTCGACCCTTCCAGTGCAAGGAAATCCTGACCACTAACCAGCACCAAGCAGAACAACTAGAGCTGTGGATGCAGTTATTGGTAAGCGAACTGGAGACGCTAGTTGAGACTGAGGTATGTCTGAATGATTATTATTGGGGCCTGCGGTGGCATGCTTGTAACAGAACCCTGTATTTTTGCCTGAACTTAATCAACAATGCTGCTGGAGGGGTTAAACAGAACCGAATGGCTGGTGTTCATGTGACTATTGCTACCATAACAAACCACCCAAAATACCGAACATCAGACCACCCAGGGGAACAGTTAATTGCTATTTTACCTCCCAGTGATTGTGGAGCCGTTCGCATGGTTCAGACGAATCCCTTTGTACTCAGAGTAGGTGGCCGCCATTTCGGGACTTTACACGTGTTCGCGGCCATCTTACAGACGAACGGCAGTGTTTGCCTGTGAACGCATGGAACTAAAAACGGATACGCAAACAGGCGAACAACGCTGAGACCTCCAGGAGCTCGTAAGTTCGTGCTGAAACTACCGAACGACCGGCCGTTCGGTAGTTTTGTTTAAGCATGCATGGGGATTCAGGCAAACGGCAGGATTACTGTGGATGGCAAGGGGTTCGTGGGGTTTTTATGCACGAACGGAGACCGACCGCAAGGCCAAAACTTTTCTCTTTTCGGCTGAAAACCCTGTGCGGTCGGTCAAAACTTCAAAGACCCATAACTCCCGAACCCCTCAACCGAATGACTTGAAATTTGGATATGTTGTTCCCCTGAGTGATAGCTATTAAGCGGTGCTGGTTTTGGGGTACAGCCAGAATGTAGTTAAAATTGTGTCTGTTTTAATTGTGTTACATGTTATCTGAGGGGAGGAGACGTGGGGGTTGAACCATGTATGTAATTGGCTGTGTTACGAATTATGTGGGTGTAGCCTTTCAGAGGGCACCATTGCATAAAAGGAGATACCCTGTCAGGAAACATCAGTTCTACTTGACCCTTCAAAACGTAGCCTCGTCTCGTTCTTGGAGGGGATTTATGGTACCGGTACTCTGCCTCATTTTTACAGCACTCCTGGATTATGCAATTGGATACCGTGGATGGGAATAAGAATTCCATTACTTCACAGCAGCTTGCCTAGAAAAGGACGTTTCCAACGGCAAGTACCCCTCACTAGCTGGGTTACAATGCTTACCACCTCTAGCCATGGCTGATCGAGTACAAGTGTATTGAGGGGGAAGACTACAATGGCCCTGATTTGTTGTGGGATACTATTGAAACTAGTCTCTGGTTTGGCGACACTAACATTGCTTGCTTCTGGTCCATCCGAGCTGAGCGGGCAGACAAATGGGACCTTACGGAGATCGATGACATTCAGCCAGATCTATCTTTTCTTGACAACCGGGAGTGGGAACTAGAACAGGATTATGTTTGCCTATTCCAACGTACAACACCACCTGTTTCTGACATAATGGGGCTTATTAACTGTATACCACCGGAAGCATTGAGTTTAGTTCCTCCTCCCCAGCAACCAAGCCTGTTATCAGGGGACCTTGGTACTGTACCACATAAGTCCCAACCAGCCCCAGAGATGGAAGACTTTATTGACTCACAATGCTTTCTTATGGACGCTGGCGTCTTCTCACTGTGAAAATCACAGTGAGAAGCACGCAAGCGCCTCTAGCGGCTCCCACTGGAGGCTGGATTAACCCTATTATAAACATAGCAGTTTCTCTGAAACTGTTATGTTTATATAAAAAAAAAGGGTTAACCCTAGCTGGACCTGGCACCCAGACCACTCCATTAAGCTGAAGTGGTCTGGGTGCCTATAGTGGTCCTTTAAGATGTTATAGTGGTAAATAAGGGAACCAGCCACAGTTACACTCCCCAGGGGCAGAGTGTATTATTGGGAGAGGAGGCGCTCAATCTCTCTCCCCAGCGGCAGTGTGTGTTACATGGAGTGGAGACGGTCGGTCCCACTCCCCAACAGTTGGGGCGTTCATC